TTTGGCGATTTTTTTTTTTTTTTTGGCTTTGTTAAATGCCATGAAAATTTATACATATGTATCTTACATAATAGAGAGCCCACAAATAAAGTTTGAAAAAATAATAATTTTTTTCAGGCCCCGAAATAAAGGGGAAACAAAAAGTGAAAAGAGAAAAAAAACAAATTAGTAAGTGGGAAAACAGGTTTTGACACCACCATCTTTGCCGATTTTTCATTATTGTTTGGATTCACAGAATGACTTCAAAATTGAGAGATAGGTACCTTACATAACAGAGAACTCACAAAAAACAAATCAGAAAAAAATAATAATTTATAGGTACCAAAATAAGTTTTTCCGGGGTCCGAACCCCTTCGAGTTCGGGCCCCATACGGGGACCCGAACGCCCGAACGTTCGGGGGTCAGCTTAGGGGTCTTCATACGTTCGGCCTAGCAACTCTGTATGAAATTCTAAACGAACAAAAATTATTAGACTTTTTTTATGTTATTAATACTAGTTATTGTTTATACATGACGAAGATGTCAATGGTGGTTGAAACAAGGCGTTTGGGCCTTCTGTACAATTATTGGATATTTGATGTAAAATCGATTTTTCCTGAGTATTGTTGACGTACTCGTACCGACTTGTTTTCTTTGCAATTATATGATTGTTAAAGAATTTTTGTGTGAATTTTACCACCAATTAAATTATAAGTACTCTGGGGGTCTAAGGCCCCTCTAACGCAAAAGCATACGAAGCCATGTGGCGAACCGATTCTGCCACCACGTTAACGACCTAAAAACATAGAGGTACATGTGATTTAATAAAAACATGATAGTTATATTTATATATATGTATTTTAAATAAGATCAAAGTTTTACAATATTTTAATAATTAAAGTACATGTATTGTGAGCATGATCAAACTTAGCTTACATAAAATTTATGCAGGTAGATAAAAGCAATATCAATAAAGTTTTTTTTTTTACTATTTTTATAAAGCAACTGTTGAAGTTACATTACAAGTGTCTCTTTGTAGTTGGTTTTGCTGAGTGACGACATAGAATGATAAAAATTTTAATCTTCCTCAATCTCAACCAAATGACTTACCTTTGTAGTTTGGTTTTCTAATACTATACCTTATTTCCCCTTTTGAATTTTTATTGTCCTTGTTAGTTCTTAATCTTACTTTTTTATATTGTTTTTACACCTAGTGATTACCATTTGTTTTTCTTATTGTGTCATGCTTGTTTTTCTCATCCATTATTCTACCTATGTTCAAATTTCAATGAACTTTGATGGGTAAATAACTTTGAATTTAATTGGGGTCTGGTATTTTGAAGATGAAAAATCTAGACGATCATCTTAAAAAAAAAAAATTAAAATTTTTGAAAGTGTCTAATTTTTTGCTTAATAACGAAATTTGCATGATGGTTGTCTTCACTGTATCTTTCTAATTCGTACTTTTGGTTTTGCAGTGAACATGTTTATCAACAATTGCAGGATTCTTATTTGTAGTGGTTGCTAGAACTTGCAATAAAACGTTTATCATAATATCAATATTGCAACTTAAATAATTATCAAAGAAGGTCGGGATCTCCTTTATGAGGTATTTTTTCAACACATAATGCTTGCTTGAGTAAATGTCATTGATTGTGAGTTAGTCATGAGAAATCTCATAGTCGAAAAAATAACTTTCCTAGTCTATTCATGATGTTGATTATCTTACACAGTGGGAGTAGCGGATTAAAGTGAGTTTTCATATTGTCCTTCCGATAAATAAAACCATAATGGAGCATAAAAAAATGTATGCTTAATACTAGTAACTCAAAATAAAGACTCATTGATAAATATGAGTAATTCAAAATCAGTTTATTCTGCTACTTCATATCTTTGAAATGTTATAGACTGTCTTGGAGTGGATGTGGTTCAAATACTTTGTTCGACAAAACCGTGGGTAGAGGGTCAACATGTGCAAAAATCTTACCCTAATTGAGTCAACGTAGCCAATGTGCCGATGACAGTGTTAGGGTTGTAGCTTCATTGGGATTCAAAATCAGGATGCTACGAATGAAGTGATGAACTTCAACATTTCGGTTGGGTGTGACCCTTAATTAGGTGAGGTTGCTGATGAAGCGCATAATCTAAAATCTTGATGAATCTCTTTCAACTCGCACTAATTACTATTTTTAACGACATTTATTTGGAGACGCTCACTTTAGCAAAAATGTATGATCAAGGTGGTTGGATCGTGATGATGATGGTTTTTGTACAGTGAAAATTCTTAAACAAGAGAAGGGGGTTTCAATCTTTGGACTTGCTGTTGGTAGGTACTAGGAATGAGGCGCTACTAAGTTTTCGAGTGAAAGTCTAAAAGGTACAAGGACCGGAAAAGTGACCCCTTTTGCTGGTGAAATAGGGCAAACGCCTTATGATCCTAGTTTTGGCTAAAGGTACAAGTCGTTAAAACTACAACCCTGCCGATTCTAACAAGTGTAATGCTGTCACTTGCAATTCTAGTTAAACTGGTCCTTGTTTTTTTATTTTTTCAAAAAAAAAAAACAATTCATTATATTATACACGAGGTAATAAATTCCTTAACATTTCAACCCGAAGTAATAGAGCCATCACCTAACTTCAACTTGTACAGGAAACCGAGTCCAACGTGCATTTAAAAATGCTTTCTCTGAAATAAAACGACAATTGAATCTCTCAAAGAGCTACAAATTGAATTTAAGTTCCTAACCTCCAATTTAACTGGGAGGATCACCTAGTTTCACGTTGCAGTTAAACAACCATGTAAAACTGAATCATTATCACACTAATTACAATCAATGACTTTATAATGGTTAAATTGTGCATTGTTCTGTTTCTAGTTTAGCATGGTGCATTTGATAGTCATAAACACGGATCAAATTGAAAATGAGGATAATCGTCCTCTTTCTTCTCTTTCGTCTTTCTTCTACTCCCACTGACACTTTCCTCCTATTCTCCCTCCTCTCCCATCTATGGAGCTATCTTTTTTTTTGTTGAAAAAATCGTATCAAATTTTATTGCAAAAGGGAGTTTGAGGCCGGGGACCTCACAATTCAACTCGGAGTAATGAGGCCATTACCCATCTTCAGCTATAGCTGTAAACCGGGCCCAACGTCCCATCTTTTTTCCAAAAAAATCATCCTTGTATAGTCCATGCAGTACCAAAGATTACACCATGTTTTCTCAAAGGTATTACTAATTACAGTCTAACACTATACTATATTCCAGAAGTATAGAATATATGACCAAGCCACACAAAAATAAACTTTTTACATGAGATAAGTAGTTTCAGGCTTAACAGCGGTCGCATGCCTAACCTTTTATTGCAAAAAATCCAACCTCACCTCTATAACACAAAAGCCTAAAACAAAAAACAGATTAAATTATGACCAGTGTTTTTAAAAATTGTAGATTGAATCTACAAAGGTGATGAACAAAACAATACAAAAAATGAAAACAACATCAGTATCAGACTGTGAGACCAACTGATAACCTTCAGTGGCTTAGATTGTCATGACAAGGTTTCCCACCTCGCACCTTTGAACTATAGGTGTAGCCATTTCTCAAACTCCCTATATCTCAATGGGTACGACCCACATGTTCTCTTTCCCGCTAAACGGTTATCGGATGTGCCTCAAGAGATCAACAACGTTCTCACAACCACTAATAGGTTTCTCACTGCCTCCGGTTGTACCGGAGCCTTCTACGTACAACCCTCCACATACAAGACATAAGAACCGAAACCAAAGCAAAGAATATGTAAAGGAGATGACCGAGTTCATAAAAGATGGATATGCACAATGCAGTTTTCCATAAAAGGCAGTATGCATGCAGTAAGAAAGGGCAAAAAACAAGTTAGTGAGATATGATTATCCATTCTATGTTTATGAAATTATGACCAACAATAAAAAATCCTAAATTTGAACCAGCTAATAGATCGAGCGGTTCCACAAAGATATAAAACTAAAAAGAACACGGTGATGAACATCCATATCCGCGTCGTCTGTCTCTTTTACATTATTTGTTGAACATCCTTGGATTTGTCGAAGCGCTCCCACCGCGCCCGCACGCTATCCCATTGTATCCGGTAGTCTCACTTTCACTGTCTAAGTCTATTTCGATAACAAGCTTATACTCAATGTACCTTGTCAGCAAAAAGTGGCCAATACATGGAGATTGGACAATCTTATAACTCCGTTACCGTCTTATGGTGGTTGTTCTTTTCACATGTCACTTCCGCTAGGCCAAGTTCGTCTCTCTTTTTGCGGGATCTGAACTGATGTATGATAAAGGGCCTCGTTCCACACCACTCCACTTTAGAAATACTTGAGAAATTCCTCGTTCCACACTGCACTGCACTTGAGTTTCACCTTCCCTAATCGCGATTAGGCTTCCCGCCTCTCTCGGCGCCTGCCAAAAACGTAAAGTGCGGCTCAAGTGCGGCCCAGGCGAATAGGTGATTTTTTCAAGTCACCTCTCCGGGCACACTTGAGCCGCACTTCAAAACGGCGCAAGTGAGAGCCAGGAGGCGGTTGTAGGCGCTGCACGTTCCCCCCGTTTTTTCTTTTTTTTGTTTTACATCCCCCCTTCCCTCGCGCCAACAGCCTCTGCCACTTTCCCGCTCCTGTTCCGAATGTGGAGTGGAGTGTAACGTCGAACCGTGCCAGGCTCAAATGTTTTTTAATGACGATTACCCTGTGACGCAGCTCAAGTGCCGCACTTGAAATTGAAGTGAAGTGGTGTGGAACGAGGCCCAAACACTCTTTCAAAGTAAGAGGAAATAGGATAGACCTTCCACCGGGTACCATCACCTACACTGATTCGGGAAAAGAATTCAACCCGGTACTTCTGCCGATTTGGACCTTACCACTTAGTTTCAATGGCAGGCGCGAAGCTTTCAAGCGTATGAGAAGCCCTTCGCAAGAGAATGCTAGGCCTCAAGCCGCTAGAGATAGCACAACAGAAGCTATTCACTCTCGGCGATATCCTTCCGTAAAGAAGGGGTGGCCATGCACTGGCCAGGAAAGTGCCGAAGAAACGCTGGTAAACGATATTAGAGCCCCACTCGTATCTGCAGAACTTCAGTCCTGGTAACGCTGCCTGAACCCTCGTAGTGCTAAGCTTTACCTATATCCGGCTACTTACCGCTAAAGCTGCACCACCGGCGGTCCAGCACGTCCTCCTCGCCCTTCCCCTACCAACTCTATGCAGCTACTTTTAGTGCTGTCCGGCGAGGCTTCTCACCCTCTATCAAGCCGGTCTTTCCCAGCTGGCTTCCCTTTGTCCTTTTACCCTATGCTTTTCCCGTGGGCTATCTCCTGGCCTTTTTCCCGTTGGGTTTTTCCCCCGGGCTCCTGAACTTATCCTCTGCACTTCCCAAGCGTACTCAACCCTCTGTTCAAACCCTGTCCGACTACAAGGCCCGGTACGTGATTCCGGGGTGCGTCCCCGCGCCGTCCACTCCCCGGGCTGTCCTTTCTTTATTCGAAAACGTCACATCAGGCAGGATTTCCTCCTTCTGTGCGGTCGTTTGGTGGTTGACCCCTCTGGCCCAGACAGCATGGTGGCTTGTCCTGACCGCGCCTTTGCCCATTGCAGTTCGCACAGCCTGAGGGGGGGGGCCTGGTTCTCCTACTACGGTCTGGTGACGTGGCTTTTCTGCCTGTAGCGAACTTCGAGCGCCCGCTCAAGAAACCGCGTGATCACCACTCCGCAACCCTAACGTCCAACACCCACACACCACTTGTGAGTCAAGTGAACCTGCGATCTCCGTGACAAGTTAGAGGTGAGAGAGGTTAGCTTCCTCCATCCCTCCCTGTCGCTCTTCTTCCCTCCACCACATTTTCATGTCCTCCTTCCTTCACGGAGATTTCTACTTCTTGTTTCACAGTTCCGCCCATGTGTGCTTCCCTGTCTTTCCCTATCCGTCTCTCCTCTCCTCCTACGTGTGTGTTGATG